GAACATTTTTTCATGTGTCTGTTAGCCATTTGTATGTCTTCTTCAGAGAAGTGTCTTTTCATCTCTTCTGCCCACTTTTTGACTTGATTATTTGTTTTTTGGATGTTGAGTTTGAGAAGTTCTTTATAGATTTTGGATACCAGCCCTTTATCTGTAGTGCCATTTGCAGATATCTTCTCCCATTCTGTGGGTTGCCTCTTTGTTTTGTTGACTGTTTCCTTTGCTGTGCAGAAGGTTTTTATCTTGATGAAGTACCAAAAGTTCATTTTTGCTTTTGTTTCACTAGCTTTTGGAGATGTATCTTGAAAGAAGTTGCTGTGGCCGATGTCAAAGAGGTTACTGCCTAAGACTTGCTTTTGAGACAACCTTCAGCATCATGATCTGGCTACGGTTTGCACATGTCCCTCTTACCAGAAGTGCCTGGGGTTCTCCAGATGTGACCTGACCAGGGCAACATGAGTGAAGTCATTCTTTCTCTTAATCTGCCCTATCTACTTCTGGAGGTTGTGTCCCATTTTTGTGCAATCACGTCATGCCCTCAACTCTCATTAAACTTGAGGTCAGCTAACACAGAGACACTTAAGCTCGCTCAAGGAGATAAGGAGGAGGGAGAGAGGCCAATAGGAATGTTTCCTTACTGCCTCTTTTTTTCTCCTCCATTCCAAGGCCCCCTTAGAAATTAGGTCTCTGTCCACTAACTGTGTCAACAGCTGATTGGGTAATGATGCTGGGAATAGAATGGTCGGTCAAAGGTTCTATAGTTCCCGGAGAAGTGGCATCAGAACTCAGCCCCTGACTCCTCCACAAGCCATTCCTGTCTCAGTCTCGCCAGCTAATACAACCATAAATTAATGTGCGGTGGCTCCTTCACCTCTGGCTTCCTATCCCAGCAGGTCTGGGTCCTGTCTCCAATGAGGAAGATTTCATTTCCGGTATTAGAGAAAAGTGGTCACTCTGACCTACGATTCCCTCTCCAGGGAAAGCTTGGACCATGCCTGGCCTTTGATTTATGCATCTCCATTGCCTACAAATTTATTACCCAGCACTCTCGCCTTTGGTCCCTCACTCCCTCCTCCTCCTCTCTGGCCTTTAAGCACCCCCAACCCTTCTCTTCATGGCGTCACCTTCTGACTTCTCCTGTCTTTGTTGGCTAAATGCAAGCCAAGGTCTGAGGCAGTGTGTGCGCTGGAAAATGAACTGGGATAGTTAAGTGAACTGACACTGGTTTAGTGACTATTGTGTACAAACTTCTGTGCTCAATGTCTAGGGCAATCATTTCATTTCAGCCTTACAACAGCTCTACAAAATAAGCATCTCTAATCCCATTTTACAAATGGGCAAATAGACTTACAGAGAAGTGACTTCCGTGATGGGCTCTGAAGCCTGTATCCTTTCTACTGCAGTATGCTACTTTGAATCTTGGCTAACATTTACTGAGAGTAAGCAAATTACTCAAGTTATCTCTCCCCAAAACACTGCTATTACTTCCATTTTACTGATGGTGTAACTAAGAGCAGCATTGAAGAACTTGCTGATGATCCACATAGCTATTAAGTTACAGAGCTAGGATTTGAATCTGTGATTCTAGGGCCAGGTATTTCAATTCAGCTCTGTACAATCAGGAGCTCTGGTTCTTGCTCTGCCCTTGTTACTAACTTACTGTGTTCCCTTAGACTATTTTCTCACTCCAAACCTCAGGTTCCCCATCCACTCAAAAGGAGACTTGGTTCAGCTGAGTTCCAAGATTCTCCTTGAGGAAATGGCTGGGCCTTTGGAGATAAAGCATTTGGAAATCTTGAAGGAATTTCTCTTTCCCACCTCATTTTATATTCGTAGCTTGTTTTTGTGACTGTCTGCATCAGACAGTCACTCTCCATTGCCCTTAAAATATAATACTTCACCATGACTTTGAAGAGCCTTGATGGTCTGATAACTGCCAAACTGACTAGTCTCTCACCCATTCTTTGTGCTAACCATTTCAAAGAACTGGGTGTTCAGCTTTCTCTCATCTAACTTTAGATGGGCTCTTTCCTCTGCCTCCCCATCTACCTGAAAAACCTGTCTAGTCATTGAAGTCTTGGCGCAGATGTTACATCCCTTGGGAAGATTTCTGAGCCCCCAAATTAATGATTAGGTGTCCACTTTATATATTCTCAGAGCACACAGCATGTCTCCAACTCAGCACTCTGACCCCAAATTAGAGGTTGTTAGTATTTCTGTCTGTCTCCTGCCATTGACTTACAAAGATGCTCTAGGCTTACACCAGGACAAAAATAAGGCTGATGATGGGGGGTGGTAGTGTTGGTAGTGATACTTTCTAACCTGTATCAGGGACTTAAGATGTGCCAACCACGTTTCTAAGAGTTTTGCGTGTATTAATTTAATGTAATCCTCACTATAACTTTATGAGGTTGGTGAATGTTACTCCCTTTTTATAAATGAGGAAGCAGAAGGAGTATGTAGCTTTTTTAAAAACACAGAAAAAGCAGAACAGCACCCTTGAGTACAATGATAGGAAACACTTAACATCTGGATGTGTGCCCTACCTGGTTTCTTGCTGTCAGTCTTGCCCTTCCCCCAATTTGATTCTCCTCAAGGTAGCCGGGAACATTTTTAAATAGTCCAGCTCTGAATCCGTTACTTTGCTGCTTGAAACCCTTTGATTACTCCCCTATTTACCCTCCAGACCACAATCATAGATAACATTTATTGAAGGCTTGTTACAGATTCATCAGTGCTGTTTTTGTTTTGTTTTTTAAACAAGACTTTGTGGTAGATACAGGTATTATTCCCATTTCATGGATAAGGAAACTGGATCACACCTGGTTAAATAACTCCCTCAATATCACAGAGCTGGTAAGTGGCTAAGCCAGGATTTGAACCTGCGCAGTCAGGCTCTAGAGCCTGGATGGTGTACCATTATTCTGTACAACCAACACCCCAGTTCCTAAGCTCCAATGGCCTGGCCCCTCCACTTCTCCAGTTTCCCACTGTGTCCCTACTTACACACGGTATTCCCGCTGTAAATCCTCAGAACTTCTATGTAGTCCCTTATCTTTATGCCTTTACCTCTGCTTCCTGTTATGCCTTTGTCTTCTTTAACCCCTACTCATTTTTGAGACTCAACACAAGTTGCCCTTCTACTAGGAAGCCTTCTTGGATATTCTCATTCCTACCTAGGCATCTTCCTCTACTTCCTTCCCCCTACCCCCCAGCCCACACCTCCTCTTATCATTGCCCCTGCTACCTGTGTTGTAATTTTCCATCTGTCTGTCTTTCACACCAAAGAGGGAGCCCCACCGTAAAATAAGTGCTCAGTAAATGAGCAGTCAATGACTTTATCTCCTGTAACTTCACAACAGCCCCCCTTTTCAAGTGAAGAAACGGGTTTAGAGATGTTAAGTGAATTTCCCAAGGACACAGAGCTATTAAGGAACAGAGCAAGGGTTCAAACCAGGAGGCAAAAGAAATGAACTCCTCAAGCTCCTCGTTGAGAGGTGCCTGCCAGTGGGGAGAGAGGACTGTGGGCAGAGTGGCAACCTGAGTGTGATTATGAAGCTATGAATTCTTGGCACCTCAGGAAATATTCCACCCAAGTGGTGAACTATACAAAGAGGACTTTTTGAAAGGTACCTCATAAATCATGCCCACAAAACATACACACAGAAGCCCAGCCCCTTTCCAGCCGCCATGCAGGTGCCTAACACAGTCTCCCATTTGTGGGGTCTGTTGTCATAAAACACCCTCCCTCCTGGGGTCTCAGAGGGGCATGGAGAGGACAGCAGGAGAGAGCTGCTCATTTAGCCCTTGGGTATCTTGAAGATGCTGGAATGCAGAGAAAGTTGGATTCCACATGGTGACGGGCACCTTGACGGTGATGCTAATGTATGGTGTGACCCAGGAAAAGAATATCCCTTTCCCTCTCTGAGCCTCAGTTTTCACATCTTTAGTAAGAGTAGGTCAGACTAGGTCAGTGGGTCCCAGTTGGGGCGATGCCCCCCCGCCCTGCAAGAAGACAATTCCCAATGTCTGGAGACAATTTCATTGCTATGACTGGGGCAAAGGAGTGCTATTGGTATTTAATAGGCAGAGGCCCAGGGATGCTGCTAAACTTCCTACAAGACAGCCCCCACAACAGAGAACAGAGAATGTCCTTAGTGCCATCATCGAGAAACCCAAGGGTCTCAGAGATCTTGCTAGCTTTAATTTTCTGTGCAGCCATCAGACCTCCTCAGGGATCCTCTCTCTGTTACTGGTTCAAGGGCTCTAGATAAGTTACTAATGATGATCACCACAGGACAGGCTGATTCTTGCTTAGACTAGTGTTCAGTTTGGCCTTGATCCCAAGACACCATCATAACAATTCTTTATAATCATAGATATCATTTATTGGGAGCTTACTCTGCACCAGGCTTTGGGCATTTCTCATGGTAGATCTTACCACCACTCATGATGCTAAGACCATCATCACTATTTTAAAGATGAGAAAAATGAGATACAGAGAAATCTGATTTGGGGACTTAGATATTAAGGCTTTGATGAAAGATTTCCAAATTTCCTGACTGTGAGAAAAGAAAAAATATGAGAGAACTAGAGAAACACAAAAGCAGAAGTTAGAGAGGGACTTTGTGGGTATTCAGGCCTAGATCCAAATGCCCAGCCCCAATGGTCAACTTGATGTTTGACCTTGGTCACGCAATGTCATTTCTCTGAGCTGTGGGCTCCACATCCATTTGGTGTGAGTGGAAAGAACAATACGTTCAGGGCTGTTGTGAAGATTACGTAAAATCTTAAAATGTAGGTAAAGCATTTACTCTGCGTCTAGTGTGGCAGGTGTCAGTAAATTTTAGTTGTGATTGCTGTTGCTGTGTATCATTATTGTAATAATTTCTTCTTGGTCAGAGTCCCAAGGCTGGTGACCTTATAATTCCTGGGACCCTCATATCTTAGAAATGAAAATTCTGAATCAAAGGTTATATGTTGCTTTCAGTTTTTACACATTGCACAATTGAAGAGGACAAATTTGGAGGTGATTTTTGAGTGTTTGAAATACCACACTCGGGCCAGGAATGGATAGGAGAGTGTTGGGACAGGAAGTCCTCATTTCTCTGTTGACCTTCATTCACCACTCAAAGTCTTAAACCTTGATCTCGGCTTCCTTCTTCATCACTGTCTCGTCCTCTCTTTCAGGAAGGCCCACCTGATCCTGCGGCGACTAGAGAGGGTGAGCAGCCACTGCTCCAGCCTCCTGCGAAGCGCTTATGTCCAGAGCCGCGTGGACACCGTGCCCTACCTTTTCTGCCGCAGCGAGGAGGTCCGGCCTGCGGGTATGGTGTGGTACGGCATCCTCAAGGACACCAAAATCACATGCGAGGAGAAGATGGTGTCCATGGCCCGAAACACGTATGGGGAGTCCAAGGGCCGGTGAGGGAGGGTGCTGCCCTCCGTGAGCACAGAGACTCTCCGTGGGAGGGGGAGCAGTACTCTCATGGATCCTGGGGCCTGGGGGGGGCTGGGGGACAGCTGAGGATGGGCCTGGCAGATGAGGCTTGCCAGCAAGGCCAAAGCAAACTCTTTCTCTGTGGATAGCCGACGAGAACTTTGTAACCACTGGAATTATCCGTTTTTCTCTATCTTTTATTTTTTCTAAGATCTTATTTGACTCTATCCAAGTCTCTCCTTTTTAAACTTTTTCTTATGGATAGCGGTCAGTCCCGAGGCAGGAGCTTTCAGGTGGAGACCAAGCTGCCTTTGCTCTTCTTCCTTCCTCCTGCCACACTCAGCTTCCTTCCTGCAACGGACGCTGGAGGAGACCTCTGGAGAGACAATCTGACCTCTTCAGCATCAGGAAGGAGGCCCCGAGGATTGGTGCAGTGAGGAAGCTTGGGTCTTGACGACTTTTTTTTTTTTTTCCAGACGTTATTGAGTTTGCAGGACCCCTGCCTCTTCCTGCTACCTGTGGGTCTGCCCAGAGTCCCTGCAGGACTTTCCATGCATTAAAAATTCTTATTGTCTCTCTTTCTGCTTGGGGAGTGTTTCTTGCCACTGGGGGGCCTCTGTTTATTAACTCAACAGGTATTTATTGATTACCTACTATATGCTAGGCACTGGACATGCAACTAAAGAGCAAGAGGCTCCCTGCTCTCACGGAGCTTCCAGTCCAATGGAAATTGTAGAGAAGCAGTTCAGTGCCTTCAGGCTGTAGCAGGGGAAGAATGGAGGTTATTTAGACTCATTGTTGGGCCATGAGACAAACGCTGAAATGGTTCCTAAAAAAGGGATGTCTGAAGCCCAAAGGATGGGGAGGGATAAACCAGACAGAGTGCGGAAGGATGAGATGGCTCACCATGAGCAAAAGTCCAGAAATAAGAGAAAACAGAACACATTCAAGGGCTGAAAACTCTTTTTTTTAAGATTTTATTTATTTATGTATTTATATATTTTAGCGAATGGAGAGAGTGTGTGAGCAGGGGGAGTGGCAGAGGGAGAGGGAATGTCAAGCGGACTCCACATTGAGCATGGAGCCCGACGTGGGGCTTGATCTAGCAACCCTGAGATCATGACTGATTGAAAATCAAGAGTCTGATGCTTAACAGATTGAGCCACCCAAGCATCCCATGGGCTGAAAGCACTTTCCTTTTTTTGTTTTCTTTTTTCTTTTTAAGATTTATTTATTTACTCTAAAGAGAAAGCATGCATGAGCCAGGGGAGAAGCGAAGGGAGAGAGAGAATCCTCAAGCAGACTACATGCTGAGTGCAGAGCCTGACCCTGGCTCGATTCCAAGACCCTGAGATCATGACCTGAGCCGAAATCATGAGTCGGCCACCCAACCAACTCAACCACCTAGGCGCCCCTGAAAGCACTTTCAATGACGATAGAGACCCAAGTAGCTGGAAGGAAGAAAGCTGGAGCTAGCTGGGGTGTTGGAAGTTTGGGACAGAAAGTTTGATAGTATTTGAAGTAACTGAGAGCCACCACAGAATGTTAACAGAGTGAAATGCCAAGCTTGCTGTTTAAGAAAAATTGTTTTGGCCACAGGGGTAGAAGTGGGGCTGGAGAAGGCCCCAAAAAGGGTTACTGTTGTTATTTTCCAGGCAAGAAGCGATGGCAGCTTGGATCTTGAGGTCATGGAGAGACATTCCGCCACTGGAGTCTTCTTTTAAAGGCGAATGAACTGCTTCCAATGTGTTACCTGGGAGGGTAATGATTACAAAGAGGCATTATAGATTGTTTACATTCTGGTAATAACTCCCAGGAGCTAGCTTGGTTGAGGAAGTAAGGATGTAGGTCAGGTATTCCATAATGCAAGGATGACACCTATTAGAAGAGAGTTGGGCACTATGGGAATTCAGAGAGAGGGAGACAAACTGAATACCAGTAAAACATAAGCAGTTAAAAATATGCCTACTTCTCAGTTTTGATGAGTGCCTCTGAGGTCAACAGTCCCTTTCCTGAAAATCTACATGCTGAGTCCCCCTCAACCACCACCACCTCCACCCGCCGACTCTACTACACACGGAGAAACAAAGCCCAGGGACACTCTTCCAGACAACTCAGGTGCCTAGAGATCTGCTCAACTTCCAGCAATCTAAACTCAAAGATACTCTTTCAAGAAGTTTTATTATAATTGGATTTACATTTCTGTAAGTATGTAGGTGGAGTTTAGATGAATTAATTTCTCCTATAGTGTTGCTGAGTCTTCTACTCTTAGGCATAATATAGTCAGAGAGGAACAAATTTCTTAGAAAGAAAAGAAAGAAAAGTAATAGTTTTTTCATTGAACACTTGCCTATCTTTGTTAGTTGCCTGTCTTAGTTTCGGTATAATAGAACACTGGTGTAAACAACACAGATTTGTTTCTCATAGTTCTGGCACTGGCAAGTCCCAAGATCAGGGTGCCGACAGATTGAGTGTCTGGTGAGAACCTCCTGGTTCATAAACAGCTGTCTTCTTGCTGTGTCTTCACATGGTAGAAGGGAGGAGGGAGCGCTCTGGGGTCTCTCCAATAAAGACACTAATCCTGTTCAAGAGGCTCCCCCCTCATGACCTCATCACCTCCCAGAGGCACCACCTCCTAATACCATCACACTAGGGATTAGGTTTCAACATAGGAATTTTAGGGGGACACCAGTATTCAGTATATATCATTGCCACATGTCAAGCCCTGTTCTAAATTCCTCTCCTGTATACCCTTTCCTGAACCCTAGGTCCCTGGCCTTCGCTGAGTCACCCCATTGTTGTAGCTTTCCATTGTCTTGACCCATCCTGAGGAAAAAATTAGCTCAACAGTTGCAGAAAATTAAACTCCCCAGTGTGCTGGGGCTGTGGTCTGAGCCTGATTAAGTTGACTCTGTCTCTGTCGCCATTCACCAGCTATTACCTTGGGTAAGTAACCTGCCATCAGAATCTTGGTTTTCTCATCAACAAAATGGGGTTAGTAATAGTCCCAAAATGGGGTTAGTAATAGTCCCACATTGTGGGGTTATTATGAGGCTTGAACAAGATAAGAACTATAATGTGTTCAGCACAATGTACAGTAGGGTCTTTTTTTTCTTTTATTAGATAATATGCAAATGCTTTGAATCTTGGAGAGATGACAGGGAAGTTTTGTCTGCGAGAGACCTAGAGAATTCTGATTAAGAGAAGGAATTAATGATTAGCTGTCCTATGCGGTATGTGAACTGTAAATAGTATCAAAAGTTTAACTCAGGGAGAAGCGGCTGTGATGGCAGAACTTAATGCAATGCAAGAGCCCGAGGAGAGGTGTGTGGCTTTCTCTGAGGCTCTCATAGACAGCTGTGGCCTTGGATAGCTGCTGCTCAGTTGGCCAAAGTTGGCTGGCACCTGAGAATATATGCCATCAGCCTGTCCCCAACTCACTCAGCTGCTCATGCTCTCTCTGGTTTCGACCCCTTTCCCTGGCACTCTGGAGCCTTGTTGTTCTTCCCAGCCACTGTTAAGTCTCTCCAGAGTGGGATTCCAGAAGCTTGGAGAGACAGGTGTGTGTGTTTGTGCCCTGCCACGGCAGGGAAGTTGGTCAGACCAATATTTGTTAAGACGTTTCATGGGAAAAAGAAACAGGAAAATTCTTGAAGTACAGATGAGGCTGCTGGGTTGAGCGCCCTGGCCTCCCCGTGGCTGGATTGATCCATGTGCCGCCATGGAAAATGCCCAGGGAGCTCCCACCCCACTCTGCTGACAAAGATGGGACGTTTTGTATGGTCTCCACCACTGAAGAAAGGTGTGTGTGCGAGGTGCCCAGGAAATCACCCCGGCATGACTTTCTCCTCCTGTATGGTTGAGGAGGTACTTCTCCAGGCAGCCTTCATGATAAAGAGGGGTCTGCATAGACAAATCCCGACAACTACAATTTAGGGAGTCCTCATCACATCAGTGACTACACACTGATCTCATGTAACCATGTGCAAAAGAGCCATGTGCTAGTATTGCCATTTTCCCGTTAAAGAAAGTGAGGTTTAAACCAGTTGAATAACCTCCAAATCCTATAGTTAGTGATGATACTGAGATACTGACATCCAAACTTGGACAGATGAAGTAATTCAAACCAGTGATAACTGTGCTTCCTGGGAACAAATAGATACAGTGCCCTTCTTCTCCACCCCAAGTCGAAAACTACGTCCTTCTACCTTCCAGCCAAAACCTGAGGACTGATTTCCAGATTTGGAGTGCTGACATGAATAAGACCTGGAGCCTGCCTTTAAGAAACTCTTGGAACGTAGCTAATTTAATATGATATAATCAGACACTTTAGAGTCAAGCCAATCTGGGTTTAAGTATTGGCTGTACAGTTTACAGCGAGGAGGGGTTGGACATTGAGAGAAATTTCTTTTTTTTTTTTTTTATTCTTATGTTAATCCCCATACATTACATCATTAGTTCTAGATGAAGTGTTCCATGATTCATTGTTCGTGCACAACACCCAGTGCTCCATGCAGAACGTGCCCTCCTCAATACCCACCACCAGGCCAACCCATCCTCCCACCCCCCTCCCCTCTAGAACCCTCAGTTTGTTTTTCAGAGTCCATCGTCTCTCATGGTTCGTCTACCCCTCCGATTTCCCCCGCTTCATTCCTCCCCTCCCGCTACCTTCTTCTTCTTTTTTTTTTCTTAACATATCTTGCATTATTTGTCTCAGAAGTACAGATCTGAGATTCAACAGTCCTGCACAATTCACAGCGCTTAACAGAGCACGTACCCTCCCCAGTGTCTATCACCCAGTCACCCCATCCCTCCCACCCCACCCCCCACTCCAACAACACTCAGTTTGTTTCCTGTGATTAAGAATTCGAGAGAAATTTCTAAGGCAAACTCAGCAGGTCTTGCTGATTAAGAGGCTCAAGTTAGCTGACATTACCTTAACCTCTCTAAGCCCCACTTTCTTTATCTATAAAGGGGACAAATACATTGTGTGGAAGGACTGTTGGAAAGATTATATTAGCTAATGTATACAAAGCCATTAGGTGCTTGAAAACAAAAGCTCTCAATAAATAGTTACTACAACAGCTTATTTACACAAGAAAGGATAGACCCGATTAACTCTGCCATTGAAAGACAGCCATCAGGAAAGCCTTCACAGTCAAGGATGTGTAAGAAACAGCAATCTATGAAAGAGTGCATCATATTTGAGAGATGGTGAGCAACTGCTGTGGAATGAAAGATGGAGGGTGTTTGGAGAGGTTGGCAGAGCAGAATATATTGGCCACTGGAAGGCATTGGATTGAAAGCAGGGTGTGACATAGGCAGATAAGCATTTTGAAAAGACCCCTCTGGCTGCATGAATAGGAAAGTAGAGAGAAGGGAAAGAGCCAGTAGCACAGAGGCTAGGTAGGGTAGGGTACAGTAGGATAGGATGGGATGGGATGGGATGGGATAGGAAAATAGATAAATGTTTAGGAGGAAGATGGGAACCCCTGCGTTAGGGTCATTGCAATAGTAAGGCTGGATCTGAGTGATATTAAGGAGCTTGACTCAGTAGAACTTGCTAACTAAGAGGCCT